AGAAGGTTGGGGAGGAGGGGCGGGAGGAAGACGCTAGGAGGGGGACAGATGGAAATGGAAAAAAACATAACGAAAACGAAGGTAAAAACATAAAGTAAAAAATGAATGGACACAAGGTTGCCAGAGAGTGCGTGGAGAGGCGGGACGGCGGGTCAGCATTGCCCTCTCTCCCTCTCTCCCTCCCCTCCCTCCCCTCTCTCTCCTTAAAAACCGATCGAGAAAAACACAACGAGAAAGCTGGGCTGCGTGACGGTCCGCGTGGCGTGGCGTTGGCGGGGGGGGGGGCAGGCACGGAGATGTTTGCCGCCTCGTGTTCTGATGTTTGTGCACACAGCCAGTCTCGAGGGCCAAGGGGTCAGAAATGCCAGCAGTCGTGGGTCCAGGCTCTCAATGACACGGGGGGTGACAAGGGGGCAGAAATATTTGGGGAACCCAGTTTACCCCCTTTCCGTGGTCCCTGGCTGTGGAAGAGTAGTGTGCTGGATACCAGTCTGAGCACTTCACGTGTGTTGTTAGCTGCGCTAATCTCCCAGCAGTCGGCCTTAGGGGCCAGTCAGAGTCCTCACCCGCTCCTCACAGTTAAGGACGTGGAAACGGAGTCAATGTCATTCGGCCCCTACGTAAAAGGAGGTGGCTGGACTTGAACCCGGGCAGCTTGGCTGGGGACTCCGGTGTCCCCTACCGATAGGCGGTCCCTGTCACGCTCATCACACGTGATGCTCTCCTTCTCTCCCCTCCCCGTTCACACAACCGTCCATTCTGGGGGTACGTGCTGTGCCCCGGGCGCGGTGCGGAGCCCTGGGGCACGGGAGACCGAAGCCCTGCGCTCAGACGTGCGGCCCGGCCGGGCAGACGCACTGCAGGAGCCGCAGCAGCACGTGACTGCGGACCAGGGGAGAGTGGCCCAAGGAGCAGGCGGCTTTGAGAACTCGAGGAGGAGGAGCCTGGTCTCTCCAGGTCGCCGAAGGGGGCCGGCCTGCCAGAGTGATGGGGGAGGTGGCTCTCTAAGGCTGCCAGGGTGCCAGGAGGGCTCGGTCCCGTCTGGGCCTTCACGGCCCACTGTTCTCCAGCCCCCACAGGAGACCCTGCTGGCCCTGGGTGTGAGCTCCCCGTCCAGGCTGCAGGCCTCCCCTGTGCCCCCGTTGAGTGTGTGCACGTTGACCTTTGGGGACTTTTGCTCCACCTCCAGCTTCCTGCCTCTTAGCAGGCGCGGGGAGTGGCCGGGGGCAGCCACAGGACAGGCGCGGGGGGGTGGGAGAGAGGGTCTGGGCCAGCCGTGCACCTGCGCGGGAGTACGTTCTGTCGGAGGGTGCGGGTCTCTTCCTCACCCCCTTCCGCACCTCACGGGAGAACGGGCCGGGCCCAGGGGTGCTCTCGGACCACTGGCTCAGGGAGTGGATGTCATCAGCTGCCCCGGGCACTGCCACTGCGGTGGGGCAGGATTTAGAAATCATGGAACGGAACCCGCCCTCTCGGGTGGGCGTGCCCTCCGTCCCTTGCAGGTGTCTGCAGTCACTCGCAGTCACTCTTGACGCCTCCGTGTCCCGAGCATCTCTCTCTGGCCGGAGGCCGACAAGGGTTTGCAGATCTCGGTCGCTGCCCTGCAGGAGCTTTCTGCTTGAGGGTGAAGGAAAGTGACCCCAGCAGGGCTGTGCGGCGGCCGGCCAGGAAGTGGCCGGGGGTGCGCCTGGGAGCCAGGCTGCCCGACTCCGTGTGACCGTGAGCAGCTGACTCGGGAGAGTGTTTTGCGTGCCAGACGGAAGCTGGGGGAACAGTGGGAGTCAGGGAGGCCGGAGGACGTCCGAGCCAGACCGTGTGAAGCGCTTAGAACAGTGCCCGGCACCTGATGCGTGCTGTGCCCCTTTTTGCTTTTTATTGTCATGTTCATGGTCATGGTCACTCCTGAAATGGAGCCTATGGAGTGAGGGGAGCGGCTTCTGAGCTGGAGAAGAAAGGCATTGTGGGGGCGATGCTGGGGTGAGGGCAGAGGAAGGAGGGAGGATTTTCCCAGGCGGGGACAGCCGTGTGGCGGGCGGCCCAGGAAAACCCGCAGAGGCCGGGAGGCGCTTCGAGCGCGTTCAGGGAACGGGGAGGAGCCCAGGACCCCGGGGGCTGGGGGTTGCTTACGGCACAAGGACGAACTGACTGGAAAGGCAGGCTGGCGCCTTGTCTTGGTGAAGGGCTGGCCACCCGGCCGGGCTCTCGGAGGAGGATTTGACTGGGAAGAACTTGCCCGTTAATTCCAAGAGGAGTGCACTTAGTTGGCGAGGCCGGCCTGCTGTAAGGCCAGTCCGCACTTGGCACCTGTGACATCGCCTCACCGAGTGTGGCGAGCGCACACAGTCTACATCTCCAGGAGTTATGTCATCTAGCACTTGCTCACGCGTGGGCACTGTGGCACTGGCGAGTGATGCTGGTTCCCCAGGGAGCGCAGTGAGGCAGAACACTCTGGAGTGCACTGAATTAAGGGAGATGGTCTGTTGAAAGAGCAGTGTCCGTAGATGGTGCTCCTCGGGGCTGAGGGGGGACCTGACGGATGGTGGATTCAGCGGGGGAAGTGTTGGCTAAGGGTTAACCGTACGTTCTGCTGGCTGGTTAGCTTGGCGTACTGTGGTTTTATTATGCTATTAAATAAAAACTCACAGCATGCATGTACATAGAGATGCTATGTATATGTGTATTAAGAGTGCTGGCTCTTGAAGAGTTACTGGGGTCCTTGGTACCTGGCCTCAAAGTCAGTTAGGCAAAAGGGAATCACTTTACTTGGCCGACTCCCAGTCAGTCAAACATGCCGAAGCGTACGTCAAATGCTGTTCTTCCGAGAAGGTTTCCAGGATGCCCCGCGGACCAGCAGTTGCTGAAAGGGACGCGCGTGTGCTCGCTGTCGCGGGGTCTGCTGGCGCGGCGCCGCCAGGCCCCGTGCAAGAGGCCGCGGTTGCGTCGGTCAGTGACAGTCTGGGAAGAGTCTTCCTGCTTGGGTTTGGAAAAGGTATACATTTAACATTTCCTAACGATTCAGTTCCTCCACACGTAAAAAACAAATTAATATGCGCATCTGTACAAAGTATGAGGAAGGTGGGGATGGTGGAAATGGGAAGGGGAAACTCCTCCTCCTCCCCCTGGCCCCCCTGCCCCCTCCAGCCCTATTTCTCAGACACGACCACTGTCAGCTGTTGGAAGTCACCTAGTTTTAAAGGTCAGGGGGCACGCAGGGGTTTGGAAGAGGGGGTTCCTTCCTCATTTCCAGGTTTGGTGCGTCTGTGGTCTCCGCATCTTCAAGCCGATGCGACGCGGGGGATGTCTGTGGCTTCAGAGCCACCTGTGTGTGGGATCCTGGCACCCTCCCCGTGCAGCAGGGTGGCCTGGGAGGGCCCTGGCCTTCCCAGCTGCAGACTCCACCGCAGCGAGGCTGCAGCGTGGCCGTCCTTCCGCGTTCTCACGCGGCCTCCTCGGCCTCGTCTCTCCCTCTTTTCAGTGTTAGACAGACCTCAGGAGATCTGGCCCAAGACTCCGAGACGCATTTTCTCCTGGACATGGGGGTCTGGTACTTTGATGACCCCGGTGTGCCTGCACTCAGCCGTGCCCTCGCTTACGGGGACACATCCCCAGCCTCCGCCCACGCACCCGTCCTCGGGTCGCAGAAGGCCGTTGCCCTCAGCTGCCCCTGGAGTCTTCCTGGAATCTGCACGGCTCCTGTGGGGTTTCACTTTGCACTGATGAATCATTTAGCACCGGGATAAAAATAAAAACAAAGGCTCTCCCCTTACAGTGTGCGAACACAGGTCATGCGTGCTCAGTCATGCAGGTAAGAGCAGGAGCCGCTGGGAAGCAGCGTGTCACGTGGGCGGCCGCCCGCCTCCCCGCAGGAGGGCCTCCTCCCAGCACACGGGTGTCCGCGCGCTTGTCCCCGAGGTGGGCAGTGTCCTTTCGCTGGGCAGACCTTGTGGTGCAGGCTTTAGTGATCCAACCCAAGCCCAGAAGCCTCCTCCAGGCAGCTGTTCCTGTAGCAGGCACCGCGGGCCTCCCAGCCCTGCACGCCCGTAGGCTTGAAACACGGCTGCGTTGCAACCAGCTGCACTCACGTTACGGAACCGCCCACTGGGACACAGCAAAACTCCTTTTTCATGGTGGGCGCTAAAAACAACATTCACAGCGAGGGCTGGTGTGAACGGACCTCGGGGAATTACTTGAGCTGCGGCCCGAGACAGGAGGCCTCCTCTGCGGAGTTGGGGCCGCACGTCGAGATCCTCCTTTCACGGTGGTGTCATCTCCTGTGCCGTTTCTGCTCTCTACGACCTTCGCCGGGGCGGTGCGGCGGGGGGTGGGGGGGGTGCTTCCTTTGCCAGACGTCCTGGTTACGTGTCAGATGGAGGTGGAGCGGTCGGTTGTAGGCAAGGCAGACGGATTGTTCACATACTTCGTTCAGTTTTCTTTCTCTAGAGAATTCAGAATTGAGGCGTTTTCTGGTCCTGAAGTTACTCATCGTTAAATACGTGTAATGCGTTGCTAGCGGAGTGGCTTGGAGCTCAGGGGAACTGGGCGCAGGGAGGGAAGCCCTGCCTGTGAGGACCGGTCTCCGCCCTTCTCGCCGCTGGAACACGTGTGGCTCCGCGGTTGGGGCCCGAGAGGGAGGCGGTGCTGAGAAGTCCCGGGGGAGGCCCACGCTGGTCTTTGGGGAGCACGCAGGGCCACCGTGGGGGTGCAGCTGTGCTGCCCCCAGACGGGAGGGAAGGCCCTGCCGGGGCGCCTGTGCCCGCGCCTGGAACACAGCCCCGGGCGGCCTCTGTGCGTCCGCCTTCCATCTGGGGGCTCTCACCCGGCCTTAGGCCAGAGGCTGAGAGGGAAACCAGGGCAGCGTGGTCGCTGTCTTAAAGATCCACATTCATCCCTGGTGACCGTTGCCCCTCGGAGAGGAAGGGGTGACATGCAGATCTGGTGAGTCCTGTAGCCTCCTGTCCTTTGCGGGTGGCGTTCTAAGTGTCGCTGTTTATCTGTCGCAGGTCATCTACTTGAAGAGGACGCCAGAGGAAGCCTACCGAGCTCTCCTGTCCGGCTCCAACCCCCCCTACCTCCCGTTCAGGTACAGCTGGCTGCTCGCGAGCCTCGCGCTGCTGCAGCTCCCGGCCAGATGGCCTGCTACTTTGGAGTGGGGTCATTACTGTGTTTTTTCATTGTTTTATGTTCCGTGGAGTGAAATGAGATGGCAGTTCTTATTATTTCCTTTTTTGCAGAGGTTTTTTTCCCCTCCCTATCCAGTAAGAGGAAAACAGCTTTCTCCTTTTAGGAATTAACTTCTCCCTTGAATCCTCTCTATATCTCGACAGTTGAGCCACAAAGGAGCTAATAACCACATCCGGATTTGTTAGCATTTGGTCATCTACATCATTGATGTGTCCATTCATTCCCTCCCCTTGGAGCCGTGGGTGGGCTCCGACCGAATGTCGGGGGCTGGGCACGTAGAATAAGACCCTCTGAGTGTCTTCCCAGAAGCAGATGCTCAGTGGGAGCCCCGGGTCCCCTGTTTAGCTCATACATCCATCCAGCTTTCGTCTTGAGGAAGGAAGGCTGTCTCTTCATTACCCTCTTGGGAAAGAAGGTGTTGTAAGTATCACCTGAAGAAGATCTCTTAAAACTTTGGGTGAACTTGAGGTTGTTTAAAAAGTAGAAGGGAACATAATACATCGAAACTGGCGCGATAGTCGTCTCTGACGAAGCTGTGAATGATCACAGCGTTTCTGCCTTTTTGGCTCATTCCTGTGTCCAGGCCTGCAGGCGCACGGACCCCTTGTTGTTGTGTCTGATGCCGTGGTTACCAACAGCAGTGGCAGGAGGGGCAGAGAGATCCAGGGGTCCCCCTTACTCTCCTGCCGGGTCAGAGGGTGCACCCCAGTGCCTGCTGCTTAAGAGTGTTTTTAGTAAACATTTCAATGACTCAATTAAGACAGAATCCCTTAAGGTTCCAGGGATGCTTACCTCTGTTTCTCAGACCACAGGAGGGGGCGTTACGAGGCACTGAGCGGGGGTAGTACCGGGTTGCGGGGGGTGGGTATGGCTGCACCCGCTCTACCTGATCTTCTCAGCAAAATCAGGGGGTAAAGCGGTGAGAGGAAGTATCCCCCTCCAGATCTAGAGTTGAGCTAATTAGCTATGGAAGGGCAGGCAAAAAGTGACAGGTTATTAACTGTGATTCTATTTTTAGCTTATATGTGCTAAGTAATTTATTTCCTGAAAACTAGAGTTTTTGGATAATTAAGAAAATCAGAATGGAAAGGAGATAGTACAAAAAATTATTACTACTTAATGTAGAATTAAATCATAATTACAGTTGTAGTCTATTTTTCCAAATTATTTTTATGTAAGTATTTGAAAATGTGAACACATTGACACGGTTTAAAATTTTTTTTAAAGAAGTCTAAGTTTTTTTTTCAAGATTTTATTTATTTATTTTTAGAGAGGGAAGGGAGGGAGGGTGGGGGGAGAGAGAGAGAGAGAGAGAGAGAGAGAGACACACACACACATCAATGTGGGGTTGCTGGGGGCCATGGCCTGCAACCCAGGAATGTGCCCTGACTGGGAATCGAACTTGTGGTGCTTTGATTTGCAGCCCGTGCTCAATCCACTGAGCTACGCCAGCCAGGGCTTAAACATTTTTTAAAGCATAAGAAGGTTTACAGTGAAACTGCTCCCTCTCACCCTCGATCCTCACCTGCCCGGTCCCTCCCGGGTGACCTCTGTGTTAGTTTATGCCCCGTCTGTCCCTCTGGAGTTTCTATGTGCGCATGTAAGCAAATAAAGACACACACTCTCAGTCTCCCCACTCTCACCACAGAACGTGGCACACGGTGTTCACCGCTCTGCACCGTGATTTTTGTCGTGTAACTGCTCTTGGCTGTCCTTTTATACTGGTGTGTGGACAGCTTCCTTCCTCATTCTGCCTTATTTCTGTGCCGTGTCCAACGGTGCATTTCACCCATCTCTGACAGGTAGATCTTCAGGTTGTTTGCTATCATTTTAATTGTCGTTTTTTAATTCCAGTGGTCTCCAACGTGTTTTAGAAGAAAGAAACTCAGACAGTACTATAAAGAAAATGACAGGATTGTTGTTAGATGTGAAGAGAGTTTCGTAATCTGTTTGGTAAAGCTACTCTTATGAAAAAAGCATGCTGAATGCAAACATGAGGCCTTTGTGCTTGGTGTCAGCTCCTATTTCCGGGTACTAGGTTGACCTTGAACATAGCTCTGTGTCTTCCAAGACCCCAGGAGCTGTGCCCATATCCAGCGGCATTTCTACATCCAGACTCTTCTCGAACCATATGTGGGGGGCAGAGAATACGGCAAAGTGGTGCATTTATGATTTAGTGGGAAAGATAATATTGTGAATTTGCCGGAATTTGATGAAAGAAGCTTAATTCTCGCCAGTACTGAGATAACATGTGAGCTGATGTCAGTCTGTGGCCCAGGCCGGGGCGGTGGCCGCAGGAACCATCTTCAGGAAAAGGCGAAGGGATTGAGCAAAAACAAAACCAAAACCACCTCACAGACACAGACCACAGTGCGGTGGTGACCAGAGGGAGGGGGTGGGGCAGGGAGGAGAGGGACACCCTATCACGTGAGCTCCTCATGCCGTCCAAGCAGACGTCTGTGTCGTGATGACTTGCTTGCAATGGCTGACTCCCCACCACGCGTGGCCGACCCTGCTCTTGAGGGCTGGATCGGGCTCCTCTCACCGTGTGCCAGAGAATAATAATGTGTGCGTCGATTTACTTATTGCTTCCTGTGTGCCAGTCACTGCGATAGCCTCCCGGGTCCCGAGACGAGCAGGAGGACGAGGTGGCCACCCAGGGAGCTCAGTGCGCGGTTTGTAAGCGTGCAGGCTGGTGAGCGGTTACGGTGCTTTGTTAGAGCGAGGAGGTGGATGTTACGGGGACACGGAGGGTGGAGGTTTCACCTTGGAACCTCTGGGGGTTGGAGGGTGTGTTGGGGGCGAGCCCCGAACACGTTTCCTGCGAGGATGAAACGGGAGGAGCCACGCAGGTGCCGACTGGGTGTGGTGGTGTTTCCTTCGCACGGCGCAGGCTGTCTCCCTGAGGGCGCAGGCCAGGTGGGATGCGTACAAGGGTACTGTGACGTTTGCAGTGCAGGCGCATCGTTAGAACTGAAAGGACTCTCTGGTTGAGTTTTTCTCTCTGGATTTATACTTAAAAAATTTAAAGTAGAGAAAGCAAGTTGGACTTCCAGCCAAGATAGAGGCATAGGTAGACACACTGTGCCTCCTCGCACAGCCAAAAGAAGGACAACAACAAATGTAAAAACAAAAAACAGCCAGAACTCACAGAAAATCAAACTGTATGGAAGTCTGACAACCAAGGAATTAAAGAAGAAACACCCCCCAGACTGGCAGGAGGGGTGGAGGCGGGCGGCCAGAGTGGAGCAGATGCGCGGCGAGGCGGCGGCTGGCTGACCAGCTAGTCCCATGTTCGAGTGCGGATAAACCGGGAGGAACAACTGGGGAGTAAGACAGACCCGCAACCCAGGGCCCCAGCTCGGGGAAATAAAGCCTCAAACCTCTGACTGAAAACGCCTGTGGGGGTTGCGGCAGCGGGAGAAACTCCCAGCCTCACAGGAGAGTTCACTGGAGAGACCCACAGGGTCCTAGAATGCACACAAGCCCACCTACCCGGGAACCAGCACCAGAAGGGTCCAGTTTGCTTGTGGGAAGCGGGGGAAGTGACTGAAAGTCCGAGGAGAGCTGGGCCAGGGGCTCTGTTCCCTCTTGGACCCCTCCCCCACAACGCAGCGAGGTGGGTTGACCCGCCCTGGCGAACAGCTAAGGCTCCACCCCTTACTATGTAACAGGTGTGCCAAGACAAAAAAAAATGGCCCAAATGAAAGAACGGATCAAAGCTCCAGAAGAAATACAACTAAGCCGACGAAGAGATAGCCAAACTATCAGATGCACAGTTCACAACACTGGTAATCAGGATGCTCACAGAAATGGCTGAATATGGTCAACAAATTAGAGGAAAAAAGTGAAGGCTATGCTAAGTGAAATAAAGGAAAATGTACAGAGAACCAACAGTAATGGGAAGGAAACCAGGATTCAAATCAACAGTGTGGACCAGAAAGAAGGAACAAACATTCAACCAGAGCAGAATGAAGAAACAAGAATTCAAAAAAGTGAGGAGAGGCTTAGGAACCTCCAGGACATCTTTAAATGTTCCAACATCTGAATCATACGAGTGCCAGAAGGAGAAGAGGAAGAACAAATAATTGAAAACTTATTTGAATACATAATGAAGGAGAACTTCCCCAATCTGGCAAAGGAAATAGACTTTCAGGAAGTTTAGGAAGCTCAGAGAGTCCCAAACAAGTTGAACCCAAGGAAGCACACACCAAGGCACATCATAATTACATTAGCCAAGATTAAAGATAAGGAGAGAATCTTAAAAACAATAAGAGAAAAGGAGAGAGTTACCTACAAAGGAGTTCCCATAAGACTATGAGCTGATTTCTCAAAAGAATCTTGCAGGCAAGCAGGGGCTGGAAAGAAATATTCCAAGCCATGAAAGGGAAGGACCTACATCCAAGATTACTTTATCCAGCAAAGCTATCATTTAGAATGGGCAGGCAGATAAAGTACTTCCCAGATAAGGTCAAGTTAAAGGAGTTCATTATCACCAAGCCCTTATTATATGAAATATTAAAGGGTCTTATCTAAGGAAAAGAAGATACAAAAATATGAACAGTAAAATGACAACAAACTCACAGTTATTAACTACTGAACCAAAAACAAAAACAAACTAAGCAAACAACTAGAACAGGAACAGAATCACAGAAATGGAGATCCCATGGAGGGTTATTAGCGGGGCAGTGTGAGAGGGAGAGAGGAGGAAGGTACAGAATAAGTAGCATAGATGGTAGGTAGAAAATAGACTGGGGGAGGTTAAGAATAGTGTGGGAAATGTGGAAGCCAAAGAACTTACATGTATGACCCATGGACGTGAACTAAAGGAGGGGAATGTGGGTGGGAGGGGGTGTGCAGGGCGGAGGGGAATAAAGGGGGGGATATGGGACAACTGTA